GGGAATTCCTTCCTACGCCTCGGTGATTCGTGATGCCGCCGGGAGTATTAGCTCCCTTCGCACGGTCCAGCTCGAGCGGGATGGAATGGTTTTTTCTACCAAGGTCTCGCGGCATGTTCTTTTTCGCGATTGGTCGAACCCCCGCGCGCATGAATATATGCGGGAGCGAGAGCTCGGGGAGGTGCTTTTGCGACCCTCTGCCGCCCACCGCGGGCGAGCCGTTTGTGTGGTGAAAATGGGAGCCGGATGTGTGGGGAATTGGGTCCTCCGCGAGGACCGCCGGCCGGACGGGGCGTTTTATTTCCTCCTCCGCGATAACGTCGTCGACCAGCGCCTTGAATTCGCCGAGATCGACGAGTTTATTAATAATTATGTGGGCCCGATGGTTGGGATCGTGCAGGGCATTCGAACGCACCGCCGCTTCGTCGAGAACGTCCGGGAGGTCCCTGGGGCGTTGGAGGATCAGCACCGTATGGGCCGGGGCTTCGCCTACGCCTTTGCTGAGATGGGAACGGTTTCGAAGCCGCCGCTCTATTGCATTTTTACCAGCGGGGCCGGCAAGCGCTACCGCTTTAATTTGCATTTCACAAATTCCGCTGTTTATATGCGTTTACCGGTTTACCGACCCTCCTCACCGACGCGAACGCAGTACGTGTGGGTGGAATGCCGCAATGCGGAGCAGTTAAGCCAGGCCGTGAAAAAGCACGCTTCACAAAATTAAAAAAAACATCACTGTTGTAGACTAATAATTTGTGAAGATAATTAAGGCGATTAATATGAAAGATATAGAGCAAGAATATATTTAACAACAACCACACCACCCATCACTTTGTCCATGCGGTAAAATGCTGGGGAAAAAAAAAAGAAAGCCCTTTCCAAAAAAGGAATATCAACAACAAAAAAAAAACAATAATTGTTGAGCTAGATGACGAAACGTCTAGGCCGAATGCATTCATCTACACCTTGTGATTCTATATTCATATATATATATATAAATAAATGTATATATGTATAGTAAACACAAAGCGCTTGCGCTACACCAAAGGTGGTGGAGAGGAGTGAGGAGGAATAGGGAGTGTACTCATTACGAAGATGTTTCTAAAAGACTACAGAAAAATTCATATTTTAAGAGAAAAAAATGGATAGTTTTGTCTAGAATTTTTCTATTTTTTTCTTCCTATTTATAATTGGTAGAAATACACCGGAGATTAGGTGTTCTACGCGATATGCATTAATGCTGTTAAAGCATATTTAAAGGGAATTATAAGTACTATCAACAACAACCAAGGAGGAAAGCTCTTGATCACACGCAGTCATGGTTTTACCTAGTTGTTGTTGGGATCTTATTTGTAAAAATACCGTCTACTGTGCGGTTTAATATTCAGACTATGGACATTTTGTATCCTCACTTTATGCGTCATCTTTACTTTTCCCTTCCAGGGGTTCCCCTCAAAACCCCCAATCTCGAAAATACTAGCCAAAGAGGTACCCGAAGGGAATAAAGTGCTATCCCCATCTCTAACCACAACAACCAAAGCGAAGTGCCTCGATTTCATGTTTTCCCTCACGCGTTTCCTATCTAAGCGATCTTTAATCGCGGACAAAAGGCTCGTGGCCCTCCCCCCCGGTGTCCAGGGCTGCGAAGTCTTTCCCAACGTCCTCTCCCTCCGCGAGGAGGAACGAATTTATCAGGAATTCTCCCGCGTCCTCGAGACCGACGGGCAGAGCGTCCCTTTACGGACCAGCAGCGGCGCCCGACCTACCACCCAACAGGTTTTTGTCGAGCTCCACGGGGCGCGGGACTTCACGGCGGTCCGGCATCTCGCGCGGGCGGAGCTCCGGCGTCTTCCCGGGTTAGTTTGGTCCCCGACCTTTCAAGCGGTCCTGGCGGAGGTCGCCCCGCGGTTTTTCCGCCAACTCCCCGATACCGGCCGGGTCGCCGCGCACTATTTCCCGGGCCACGAACGCCACATCGAGCACCCGACGGTGGGGCCGCGGTTTTTGTATTTCAACGCGCTCTGCGATACGGTGATAGACTTCGACGACGAGGCCTCGGGCCGGCAGGGGCAGGTCTACCTCCCCGCGCGCGCGATGCTGCTGGTGGAAGGCGAGGCGCGCTGGGGCTTCCGCCACGGCGAGCGCGCCGAGGCCGTGCATGAATT